ACTAATATGTGCAATAAACAATCACTTCCTCCTGTGTTATATTCAAGTGAGTTACTTCTTTGCTGGAATCATAACAAACATCCTGATTACATAAATTTCCAACATCCAAACTCTTTTAAAGACACTGTCTGTAGCAGCAGAAGATACCTCTTATAGAGCTTTGTAACATAATTGGTACGTGATATTTGTATGAGAAGAGCCATTGCTCGATTGTTAAACTTATCAGAAATTCTTCTTTTATCTCCTGGCGGATTTGTTCAAAAGTTTCATTATAGCGGAAAAGCGTCGACATTTTCGCTCGAGACTTGGGATGGGGTTATCGCTCCCTCAAATCCAGTCATATCAGTCGTTTCGAATCTAGCGAGCTTCACTGCTATATGCTATCGCCCCGCATGCTTTTACCAAAGCTTTTTATTCTGTACATTTTGTTCTTGCATGGGCTCAGCAATTTCATAGCGCAATATTTCAGAGTTATGTTCGTGGCTTTAAAAGCTGTTTTCGCAGTTTTCATGCTAAATGTATCTCTATTTATGCTGTATTACTGCATTAGTATTAGAATGTTGGCCAAACAGATGGTTCAAACGGCGGAACACTTGTAAGTTCAATAGAGGCATAACTGAAACATCAGAGTACCTTTTTCTATATCATTCGAAAAGACTCAATACAACCACTTATCATACTAAGTGCGCGAGCTAAAAACGGGTAACTTTGTGCAGGAAAGCTTTCACCTTGTTTGTAAGACGTTTTTACTGTAAGCTACTGATTCCTTCACTATAATCTATGTATGTCCATCCTAGGTTAATAAGTTAGAAGCGTCACAGAAAATACAAAAAATAACTTTGGTATGATATTTAAGCAGTGGCCAAGATTGGTACCGATCTTTATTTCTCGGCTAACGTTTCGGAGTACAACACCTTCTTCGGAGCCTGAAAAATCAAAAACTATGCGAAACTGTTCTTGTAAGCACTCAGTCACCTAACAGATACTGTTCAACACAAGGTAGTTGCAAGATTGCAAGATGAAGACAGAGACCGTAACTAAGCTAATGCTTACTTCAATAGCCAGCAATGGAGACTAAGAGCAGACCACCTAATGGATAGCGCCGTTACTGTGTACTGCTATACCACTATTTATACAGCACGGATGACCTGACCTGACCCAGACCCGTAGGTCAAAAGCCACAAAGAGCTTGATACGGTGCTAATTCGGTCGTCACGGCAATGCATTCTTCTTTGCGGTTTATTTTTAGAGTTTTTGATGCTATCCAAAATGCCTCCAACGTCTTTCGCGCTACAGTATCAGGCTCCTGCGATAAGATGTTGACAGCTACGTCATAGTGTTGATCGTCATGGCGTTGCCTGCGGTGGGCACCTAGAGGGGTAGCAATTTCGATTTTTCGAGCCCGTCTAGGTGCTCCTTGACCCGTACGCACAAGGGCCTGCCGGTTTCCCCTACATACTGATCTGGAACCGATTTGTTTTTGTGCCTTATTGCTTTCAACTCATTTTTCATGTCTCAGACCACCCTGCCTTCGGAGATTGCAAAGGAAAATTGCACTGCGCTTTTTCGAGATATGATTTCAAAATTGGTCGCTGGTTCCCCCATGTACAAATATTTTTATTCTTTATGAATATTTTTCTGTCATTTTGGTATCCGCTTGCTCCACTTGCTCCGCTTGCGTAACCTGACACGCTAACAGTGCTCCTCAATAATAAATATATTTTTGTCAGGTCTTCGAAACTATATAAACAGCGTTTCTTTTGTTATAAAGTACGTCAACTGATTAGATAACTTTTTGGTTGCCGCACCAGCTACGTTTTAGAAAATCGAATCTATATTGGCAGAAAGATGGCAGAAAACTTGCGCAACAACAATGTTGTACAAGCTGGTTCTGTTAGTAATCATAAAGTTACAGTTGAACCATCAGTTGGTATCATAAAAGCACCGGCAGCCCTTAGAGTACTGGAAAGTGGCAGAAACAAGAAAAATTATGGACAATCTTTCAAATGTGATAGAAAAATATTTTGAGGAATGACCAGCTTGTTTTTGGACATAGAATGGACAGGTCAATGGAAACCAGTTTTTTCGTCTACAGAGCTTATGTGGAGCGAAGGTGCTATTCATATTGATCAGTCTTTTTGTTGCTATTCATATTGATCAGCCTTTTTGTATCTCATCATTAAGTTTAGCTTCGACCAAATCAATGTACGTGTCCTAACAATAAACCACTGCTTGGACTTGAAGTCAACCTATGAAGGATCGATAGACGGTCAGCAAATCTCGCTAAAACCTCAACCTGTTGAAGACTCCTGTCCTTGGCAGTGGGCTCCTGGTTGTCTGTACAATTCTTATGTGCTTGATGGACAGGCAAACATTGTCAAATACAATAGCTCCTACGTAAGTAATGATTTTATAATGATAATCCAACTTTCGTTAACTCATCAAAGGCAAATCACGCATAATATGGAAGATCAGACTTACATCAAAACTTTGCAAAGCTCTGCTTTTCATGTACGCTAATATTAACTTTGGCAGTGAAGATTTTTTATTTATATTAAGTTGGCACATAAGTAATGCAACTTTTTATATAACTTTTGTCTCTTCAAACTTAGCGCATTCATTTTTCGGAAATATAAGGAATATGATGTAAGCTTCTAATGCACACATTTCTGCCGAATTTTACCATCTTATATGAGGATTACGGTAGGTTTACGGTACTATTGGAAAAATTTTAGAATGCATCAGATTTTGCTGAAACTTGGCCTATAGGGCTTATTTGACATGCTGATCACAAAAATGAGATCCTTTCGCATGAAAAGGCCTCGTTCGTGAGATCAAGAGATGAATTTCATTTTAGCGACAAATGAATATGATATTCGTGTTTACCGCATAGGATTACCCTATCAAAGTTATAGCGAATTCTGACTTTTCGCAGCTTAGTTATTGAAAAATTGCCTTCAAAACTTGACGCATTTGACTTGTTCAACTTCTCAAAGGCGCTCCACACGCTCCACACACCTTAATTTGTGTTTGAATTTCATTTCTTTTTCACTGATTTCAATGTGCCAACTTCCAGCTACATGCAGCCTATAATTGCTTTTTCATATGTTTGAATCAGGTTTCGTAGGGCTTCATGTTTGCCAAGGAAATCGTGAAACCTCGATTTTCAGCAGTTTTCAAAAAATGCTTAAATTTTTTTGTACTACGCTATCAAAAATCAAACGGTTTGAGCAGACTTGCAGCTTACATCACGATCCACATGATGCCACAAAATGAGATTGCTACATAAAATAGAAAAAAAGTTACGGGAAAAGTTGCAATACTTATGTGCCAACCTATTATTTATTTGTCTCAATCACAACAAGTTTTTCGTTAAGTTGACAATTACTTTTGGCTATACTGCGGAGAGCTTTGCTAACCAAGCATAAATATATCGCACACACGATTTATTGGTATGTTTATTTGTTTATAAGAGAATTACTGGTAGAATGCAAAAACTGCAAATTGTACTCTTGGGTTCAACCGGATTGGCGGCTGGAAGGGGGGCTTTGTGACCTACAGGGCTTATCAAACGCAGTGTCGCTTGCAACAGCATCTCCACTCCCGCGCTGGACTATGCGTCTCCGTGAACATGCTCTCTAATCACTTCCAATTGATTGAGGTTCCGCCTTTCCCACGCTTGCCCTGAGAAAATGATCAGAGAGCATGTTTGCAGAGATGAGAGTGAGTCCAGCAAGAGACGCAGAGTCCAGCACGGGAGTGGAGATGCTGTTGCAAGCGACACTGCGTTTGATAAGCCTGTAATTTAGGCTAGAGAATGATCAGAGAATACGCTCGCGAGAGAGGCGCAGATTGCGTTGCGGGCGCAAACGGCGCTTTCTAGCCTCCAATCTCTCAAATCAAAGGGTATGTTCTATAATTTCTGCTTAAGATCATTGTTTTCGCTTTCTTTGAACATTTGAAAACCATTTAGAAGCGTTTTAGCGGGATTTGATCTGCAAATATAGTCTTCGGACATTTCTGACAATCAAAAGTCAAATCATTTTTACATATCTCGAAATCTAATCCATACATGGATTTGCAGCTGTACTCTTCCTCACAAATAGCTAATGAGCGAGAGGGAGGAGTCTAGGACCAATGGAGGTGGAGTTCGCCACCTTTCAGTTACCTCGTTTTCTGTTGTACAAGCTCGAATTCATACAATTTGTGCATGTAAGTATGTGTAAATTGAAAATCCGAGTATGTGGGAGTTTCATAACGTTCTTGGAGCTTGAAGATTTGAGTTAGGTCAAAATCATTAGCTTTCGAATTCCCATTTGAATTTTCATAGAAAACATCGGTAATGCTTGTGCTTACCACTATTCTGTAGAGGTGTCATCTCTCTATACGACGGTGAGTAGCATTCTTCAATCAGTGCTCACATCAACACAAAAACATCGTCGAAATGCGATGTCCGAGAAGATTCTTCTTATTAGCCTAATAGCTTGAAACGTTGAGTAGTGACTGTGATTTAGGGATTTAAATTTTTGAACTCAATTTTACAGCAACGTCGTTTCAGTGAAATCGTTTAAGCCCAGGTCACTCTACTTTTAGCTTTTATCAGATTGTACTAAGTAGAGACCCGTTAAAGCGAAAGTTCCTTTCATGCACAGTTCTACGCACAAATTTTTCCTTTTGGTAAAATCAGTAGGAGCAAATCAAAATTAAAAGTTACTGTTGAAAAACAGTTGGGAAAATTCAAAAGTTGGAAGACGCAACTTTTCGACACATTTATTATAACTCCTAAAGAAATTCTTAATTATTTTTCTGTATTTGCATAATGATATGATCAAAATTAGTTTTAAGAAACTATACCTGAAATTTGAAACGAGTTTATCAAGTCTTTTTACAGCATATCGACATCAGTAACCTCATTGATCAAATTTCAGATAACATTATATAGAGGTAAGAAAAAGATTACGATACCTTTGCAACGTGTACCGTACAGGACTAAGGGAGCAATGGCTGTTTGTGTTCCGCCACTTTACTGGTGAGTTGTCTTAAAAGCTTTAGATTTGAGTTGTTACAAACAATAAATTCTGATTCCTTCAGAGTTATTACCATTATGAGTGTTTCAGGTACACAAACTGGGCCAAAATGATATTTGCTCTTGAAATGTGGAAAGCACAGGGCGTAGTTCATGTTATCATCTATCACCATTCGTCTACGAAACATGTGTACAAGGTGCTCAGTCATTACCAAAAAGAGGTATGCATATTGAAAAAGCGTCATCCGTTAAGTTTGCCCTGAAACGATTTCTACAAGCACGGTGCGTTGCCTTTGCGGCATGTGGGGTGTCCCAAAAATATGCCTACTGTTTAATTATTAATAACTCTCTTGCCATAAATTTCGGGAAGGGTTAGGTACCATTTTGTAGAGCTGGTTTGAACTTATATAACAAACAGTAGGCAAAATAAACAGTAAACAGTAGGCAGATTATAAACAGTAGGCACATTTTTGGGACACCCCTGTATTATGAGCCTAGAAAGCATGTGCATATATCATTTGAAATCTTATTGCCTACTCCTAGCTATGAATGCAAACGCGCGTACGGATGGAGGCATGAAATCCCGGAGCAATGGGCTTTTCACAAGCCGAAAGTTAGAACGCGCGAGTAAAGGCACCGCATGACGAAGGCGCACAAGCAGTGTTAGCTGGGAGGGCACGGAGGAGGCGCGCACGTATCTTCACCGTTGTAAATACTGCGCCATGCGCTCTGCGGCTAATAGAGCCGCATTCGCACTCAAAGGTATTGTGCCTTTAGCATGCAGCAGCGTATATTTTTATAAACATTCAAAGTCACTTTTGGCCACACGTAATGTGCAATGCTGAAACAACACGAATGTTAGCTGAGACATGAGCGAATGAGACCGCCGTTAGCGCTTTTGACAACCGCTCGCCTATGCTGGAGTTAAAGGCACGGCGACGCAAGCAATCAAGTTTTCAAGGTCTATACCTACAAGAAACAAAATAAACTTTACATCACGATAATATTAATTTTACAATCTCTTAAGCATGTATTGGTGACCCGCACAGAATTTTAAAATCAAAGATGAGTTGAACTTAAAAGGAATACGCCTGAAATATGGGTGCGCTCATTGTTGTTTGTCACGGCGTATAGCGCTTCGAAACTTTTTTATGCCCTCGCGTGAGTGTGTGTCAGCAAGGCCTAGACACCAGATCTTGCACAGCCTTTGGTAAGGGGTAGAGGTCTATATGTCGCCGGCGACATTTGGTCATTTGCAACAAATGCACCCTTGCACATGTACGGAGGTGCGTTGTTGCAAGAAGTCCGCGAAGGACGGAACCTGGCTGAGAACTAGGTCAGCTAGCTTTGCTCCGAACAAAATGCACTTACCTCGATCAAAGCAGCGCAGGGACAGCTTGGGGCTGGCTCGGCGCCGGCGCAGCGCTTGCGTAGCTTCGGCACTCTGACGGAGCTTTAGCGATCCATAACAGGGTTTTCCCATAACAGGGTGTCAAAACTATCGGATAGGCGGAACGTTCTCAGGCCAGGCGGGAGCTCCCCCCTCCCCTCCCTTTTCAAGCTTTATGATTGAGTGGGGAAACCCCACTTTTGTATAACGTCGCATCACAACCCTTATGATATGGACGCGCCTTTAATGTACTAAATCAACTCTTTACACTCAAGCTTTCATGCTTCAGTGTTTCGTAATCTTGCTCCCTCAATATTTTTTATTGTATTTGTATTATCTCATTCTTATTCTCATACTGTAGCTGAGGTTAGATTGCAAGTAGTGGTGTGATTACACAACTTGGGAGTTTGCCCGTTGTAGTTTGTACAGAAAGGAAACATGCGAGATTGAAAGAGCAGATGAGTAGGCTACTCTTGAGCGAAAATATTTTCTTAATTCAGAGTTATGAACACTCACGTCGTTTTTGGAAAGTAAAGTAATACGGGTCACATTGTGTTAGAATTTTTCCGAATTGACAAATTTTTGTTGAATTTCTTCCACTGACAAAGCTGGAGTCATTGCGTAATGAAACAAAATAAAAACATTAGATTGAAGTTTGATCCAAATAAAGTGAAAACCAGAGGCCCGTAGTAAAGCTCGGTCAGATCAGATGACCTAAAATGAGGATTTCAGAAGAAGTTAAAAGATGAACTGACCAGCGACCAATTCCACTGCTATAAAAACGCGACCTGTTTTACGAGTGAGCGTCAGGGCACGTGCCGCAATGATTACCTAACTTCCGTAAGAGCATCGTCAATTTTGAAACAAACACAAGGAAATTGTGTGCAAAGGATGAGAGGCAGAAGAAATCTTCATTAGTTGCTTGTGTGTAACTGCGGGATACGTAATGTGACATATTATTGCGGGCTAGAGTGCGCGAAACTGCACATTTTCGGGCGCTTACGGATTGAAAGGATGAACAGCTGATGCAGCCAAGAATGAAGGATGACTAGTTTTTTTTCTTTTCTGCATGGTTTTCCTTATTTTCGTGAAAAAGCTGCGTTGAGTAAAATTTCCTCATTCACTTCTTGTCTTTTTCAGAAATTGTGTTTTTATGAGAATCCGTGCTAAAATATCGTGAATTTGCTTTTTTACTTTTACTTGTGTGAACTTTTTGATTGCGGTCCGATTTTTTGTTACTGACCACCAGCAATGATTACGTGCTAATGCCGCAATAAATTATCCCGCTAGCCGATCTTGGACCACGGCGGATGGCGTTGCGACGCAATCAGTTATCCATTTGACCATGCTTGAACAAACATTCTTGCTGTTTCTTCTTGAACGTGCATCATTTGCTGTTCAATAAAGCTATCAACATTCATATCAATAGCTCGCGGGGTGCTAAACTAAAGCGCTATACGATCAGTTCTTGTCCACTTTCAAAGGAGACATGACGGGAGGTAGGGGGGGGAGGGTTACTACGGGTCAGTATCTAAAAAATTTGCACAAAGGTTGAGTTAACGTCCAGAATGATTTTACTGGTCTTTTGCATGCTCATATGTACTCTCATTTCCTATACAGCTGCTGCATTTTTTGATAGCCGGAAATTGTGGAACGAAAAAGGCAGTTTAGGCCAAAGCTGTTCTACGATTTACCCCAAAGGTAATTTTCAAGCGCGATATTGTGAAGGTAGAGATTTTAGCTTCTCTGCAGAAGTCATAAATTGAGAAAATTGATCTGGCTTAATTGATCCCAGCAAAATTAAATCATGTTCCTCATGCTGTTTGTGTTTCTAGTTGTTCCAAATATTGAAAAAGCACAGCAGTTTTACTTATAATGTAGAGAGTAAGAGCAGCTTTAAGATTTATAGGATTCTGATCAAAGATTTTAATCTTGTGTTGCTCCAAAATTCTACAATTTAACTCACTAATCTAACTCTTTTAACTCAAAACACGACGTGATCCATCTTAATAGAATGTTACAGGCTTTATCGCTCGGCTTTTTCTGCTTGTCGTGTAGTAAATCTGGTATAAAGCTAACAATTAACAATTGAGTCAATTATAGTTTTCTATACCAGCAGCAAAAACGCGAAAAGCAGAATTATGCTCACTAAGCTTATTGAGTGGCATTCTCGAAACGGGCACCTGCAGTGGAATCCAGTGAAAACTAAAATCTTTACTGTTATTAGAAGACATCGCTCTTTTAGGGCTTCGTCACAATTGTTCCTTGGCCTTCGCTGCCGCAAACTCCATTTGAAGACCCCAATCAATCCCTCTACCGCCTAGCACACTCGCTTGCTCATAACGACTGTGTTTTGCGACTGAACACTGAATTTGGAGCGCTCATTGATGTGGACGAAGTTATTATGCCCAGGTTTAGTTTTTATCCAAACTCTGCGAGATAGTTGCACAATTTTTTCAGGAACCACACACTCATGTCTTTTGTGATCGAAAACTTTGCGAACTCGTCCGTCGGTGCCCTTTTGTTCAAGCACCATACTTTGGCTCTAAACCCTAACTATGCTGGACAAAATTTCTCGTATGATACGCTAAACTTTTCCGGGATTTGGGACGCAACCGAACTTGAATACGAGGGACCGCCAAAGGTATGCATCAAAGACGTTAATTTTATGTAATCATCGCTTATATGGCCACTGCATTTCTTTTGAGATTGTATTTCGAACGAAGAAAATTGATCTATTATTTACTCACAACGTGAAGTCGTTCAAATCTAATTTTTCAGTTTTGGAGGTGAGTACCTTTTTAAACTAATGCTTTTTGTGTATTTACGATACAGAACGGTATAACATGCTGCTTATAAGAGCTTTTGGAGAACTGTGTCTTTGTATGTTTTTTTGATAACAACGACTCCCTCTGAAAAATCATTTGAGCTTTTATTTCGGCAAACACTCAGTGCGACAGTTTGAAATCTATCTACTCTTTGATTCAACAAAATTGGCAGCTGGAGGGTGGGCCTTCGAGGCCTGGACAGGGCTAGGGAATGATCAGAGAGCGCATTAGCGAAGAAGATGCAGACTGCGTCTCGGATATGAGCGGTACCGCCAATCCCTTTGAATCAAGGAGTAGATGAAATATCAATGGCAGAATCGGGTAACCGCATCTCTCCCCCCCCCCCCCCCTCCCCCCGCGCGGCCGCCTCACTGAACTTACCGCATTTCTTTCGCGAACATGTTCTCTTATCACTTTCCTACCACGAGCATGGGAAAGGCGGGATTTGGATCGCTAATTAAGCGTGTGAAAATGATTATCATGTTTGTAAAAGAGGTGCAGGGTTCAGAATAAGTGGCCACGCAGAAGCGACTCTGCAATTGTTAAGCCCTGTAACTTTAAAAATATGAAGACCTTCTCGTCTTTTTGAGCGTATGTCACAATCCTGAAACCTTTTCAGATCCCTGAAAAATCTGCTGCCTTGCTGCACCACCGATATAACATCGGAATCGATTGGATTGGGAGAAATCCTCAAAGCGTTAGATTGCTGCCGACTACAGCAGAGCTCAATGCTCTTCATAAGTCACTCAATCACCGCAAGGAAGCTATATTCCCAAATGGAGCTGATTTTCATTTCGAAACTCAGATGCAACTAGGATTTTGTCTGCAGCGGTAAGCTCTGTTTTTGTACTGATCTTAGATAAGCAATGGAAAAATGAAAACTAGAATTTCAGTTGGCGAATTACACAACAAGAATGCAAAACCCCTATATCGACCTGTGCAAGCATTATGCTCCCTTTGGAAGATTGGCATTTTGCGAAGGATAGTAATCAGTACCGTATATTATAGATTTATAAGAAACACATCGGCTTTTTATGCATTGCACTTCATATATGTTCAAATTTCATTGATTCGATAATGTTTAGAAACAGAATCAAGTTGTTGTTCATTACCAAAGTATCCCTATGTTATTACCGTAATGGTTTAGCTTGTTTTGAATGTACAAATTTGCGAATTAATAAGCTAACGTTATCGATCTCTTGAATTCTCCAGACCATTAACCTCCCAATACTGTCACGTATCTTTGAGGTTAAGTATCTTTGACAACATGTTTGTCAATTTGTTTGACACACTTTCACATTATCGGAGCCGTTTCAGGGCTTTTACACTAACTTTTCGTTGGCCTAATTTATCGATGTGCATTACATTGTTCTATCTATTGTTATTAATAAATTTTGAGCCTTTGATTACGTCGGTCCGAAAGCTCGTGCCGTTTTTCAGCACCATGCTCGAACCACTTAAAATAAAGATAGAGAAAAGCTGTAAGCACTATCCGATGCAGATTTTCTTCCTCTTTCTAAAAATTATGTCACTTTTCAGATTCCCTTGTTGTCCGGTCAACAATTTGCAGGAATTTCCACCAATGATTTTTACCCATCCTGAGTTTGACTTTTTTTATAAATGGATAGAACAAGCAAAATGCAGTACAATGAACTATTTTGGCTTCATCGACTAACTATTCAGTATTTCTTAAAATAGTCTTTCCAAAAGCCCTTACTTTTGCGAAGTTTTAAATTACACATTTGCGGTTACAACCGCTTACACATCAAACACTGACAAATCTTCGGAATTTGAGGCTTTCAAAAACAGTTTATTACTTGACGCTAATTTTAGTAAGCAACTGAGCGTTCAGCGGTTCAGAATAATGGATTCCGAATTTTCTGATTACAGCTTAGGACGAGCCTGGAAAACAAGAATTACAATGATTTTGTCCTCACATATTATACAATTAGGAAGAAAAGAAGTCTATCAGAAAGGAGAAAAAAAAACTGCATTCAATGCCACTTTGTTGCTCGTCGTTTATTGTTCTGCGATGGATTAAAATCCCCAATGCAATTTGATAGCATCAGAAATTTTTTTTCAAAAATTTTGAGAAGCCGGCTAGAAATGCCAAAAAATGTACTGTGCTTCATTTTGTTTGTTCCATCCAATTAGTATCAAAGTGGTTCAAAAGTTGAAAATGGAAATTTTAAAAAATATCCAAACTCAAGATGGGCGAAATCACGGTTGGAGATCCCTGCCGAATATTGAGCAGACGTCAAGGGAATCTGAACAGAAACATAATCCTTAGAAAGAGAAAGAATTCTGCATCGGATAGTGCTCACAGCTTTTCTCTCTTTATTCTAAGTGGTTTGAGCATGAATCTAAAGAACGGCACGAACTTTCGACCGAACTAATATATTCAAACTCACTTTTTTAATAAAAGTGTCATAACGTGTTCTATTTACTTCTACCCGTTATCTTGCAATTTATTTTTTGCAGCGTTATGCTCACAGAGAGTTCCATGTCAAGTATAGTAAAACTTGACTTTATCTTTTTTCAATCTAAAGAAAGGTCGCGAAAACAAATCAAAAAGAAGGTTTTTTTAGTCTGCTGTGCCGTACAAGGTGTTATAGGGCGGTGGCTTTATCCGTATTAATCTGACATTTCAAGGCCATCGTTACAGAGTCATTTGTTTAGCTAGTTTCAAAATATTCCAGACCACCCTATAACACCTTGCACGGCACAGTTAGACTAAAAAGAGTTTCTTTTGCTTTGATTTTGTTTTCGGGACTATCGTTGCATAGGCTCAGAAGGGTTCATTTGTTTAGTTAGTTTTAGAACTAATCCAATTTCACAACTTAAATATGAACCTATTGTTATATTTTATCAACACTCAAACCAATTAGACCCAATTATTTGTAAACCAATTATACCCAATTATTTGTTATTCTTATTTGGAGTATTATGTATTAGGTTGTCCGGAAATTAATGCAGGTTTTGAATTCCAACCGCAATAAGTCATACATTTCTCATTTTTAAGTAGGTTGCAAAACACCATTTAATAGAGCAATGCAAGCCCTACAAGATGGCTATCTTGCTTTAGCAACAGCTCTCATCCACTTCGAGTTTCGAGTCAAGAACTAAAAAGACTCAGCAGCTCGAAAAATCGAAAAAAAATCGTAACTTAGTTCATAAAAATCCTAAAAAAATTCTAACTTGTTCACTTAAACACAATCCACATAAGGCATCTATATACGCCGTTGCCGTATTTTTTCTTTGTTAGAGATCAAGAATAAGGAAATTTTTGTGCATTTGCCAAAGGGTTGCCAAAGTGCCGTTTCCACATAAATAGTTGTATACTACAAACCTGTAGTAGTACAAACGTAAATTTCAAGCTCCCTACAAGCTTTAGTTTTCGAGAAATATCGGATACAGTTTTCTCTAGTCATGTGGTCCAAGCTAAAGTTCAAATTTCTCGAGAACTAAAGCTTGCAGAGAGCTGGAAATTTACGTTTCTACCTACTACAGGTTTGTAGTGTTCAACTGTTTATGTGGGAAAGGCACAGCACCACTTTGGCAAATGCACAAAAATTTCCGTTTTCTTGATTTCTAACAGAGAAAAAATACGGCAACAACGTATACAGATGCCCTATGTGGATTGTGTTTAAGTGAGCAAGTTAGAATTTTTGTGGGATTTTTATGAGCTGAGTTACGATTTTTCTCATATTTTCGGGCACTGAAATCTTTTCAGTTTTTGGCTCGAAACTCGAGGTGGATCAGAGCTGTTGCTAAAGAAAGATAGCCATCTTGTAGAGCTTACTTTATTCTATCGAATGATGTTTTGCAACCTACTTAGAAATGAGAAATGTATGACTTATTGCGGTTGGAATTCAAAACCTGCATTAATTTCCGGACAACCTTATAAAGAATCTACCCTAATTTATTTTTTCTCAAAATTAACTAGCACGAATACGCAAAGAACTTCGCAACAAAAGGACCCTATGCCGTGTTGTACATTGCTTAAAGGCAGCGTACACCCAAAACAAATGCAACAGATGTTGCAACAGCAACTGCAACTGCAATTGCAGCTTACGCTGTTATGGATTCGTCCGGAGGAGGCGGAGCGAAAGAAAAGGGGCGGCGTGAAAGAAAATTGAGGGGGGTTTTCTCCGCTCAGAAGCAACATTGGGAGACCGGACCAACGCAGTTGGTCTTCTTCTGGGCCCAGTATATACACGGTGTAGAAAGATCTAGGAAATTCGGTAACTCAAATTTTGGGTGTACGCTGCCTTTAAGAGAATCGTACGGCATAAGGATCGCTTTCCGAAATACTTTGAAGCGGCTGAGCGGCTCGGTTGAAAAATCGAAAAAGGTGCGCCTTGTACGCATGAAATTAAAGTAATTCAAACTGTATTATGTAAAAAAGTTCTAGAGACTTTTGTGTAATAATTATCTGTTTTCAAATTTGATGGTTTTCTCACCATCAACAAACCAACCATGTATGTGGCTGGAGCATAAATATAAGAGAGTTTACATACTTTTTGCACGTTTTTGGTTTGGGTTGATGGAGCGCTAAAAAATCTGCTATCCAGTAAAAACCCAGGACCTACCATTGCTTTCCTCAGTTTTTGGATAAATATTAGGTCGGCCCGAAAGTTCTGTCGATTCATTTTTGAAAAATCGTAACTTTGCGCTGTCTCAACGGATTTACTTCTCTATATTTTTATTAGAAAGGGTAAATCTTTATCTTCCGAATGCTCTTTTGCTGAGCCTTTGCAGCCTACGCACTGACTGCAGAGATAAAAATGGAAAATGAAGACCATATAAACTTTGCACATTTTATTAGGTTGGCACGAAAGTTTGTTCGCAACATTTTCAAAAATTCATAACTCTATAATTTCTTGACAAATTTGTACGATAAGAATTTTGCTTATAAGAAGAACTCATGCTCTTTGCACTAAATTGTTCGTTAATGTTCACAAATGACGGAGATAGAAGCTCAAAACCAAAATCACTCGAAATTTGAATTTTTCGTGTACAGTCATAAGAAATCGGAAACTTGCAACAAAAATTGGAGCAGTAGGTATTGTAGGTTTTTTTCATTAGCTTTTTCTAACAGTGCAAAGTTTGCGCCGATTGAGCGTCTCTATGAAAAGTTACAATTTTCCTGAAAAATGCCAAAATAAATCAAATTCGCCCTTTTGTATTGCTTGCTCGAAAATCATAACTTTTCATAGAGATGCTCGATCGGCGCAAACTTTGCACAGATAGAAAGAGCTGGTGAAAGGACCTACAATACCGACTGCTCCGATTTTTGTTAAGTTTCCGATTTTTCATGACCCTACGAGAAAAATTCAAATTTTGAGTGATTTTGGTTTTGATCTTCTATCTCCTTCATTTGTAAACATCAACGAACAATTCAGGTACAGATGTAAAGAGCATAAGTTCGCCTTTTAAGCAAAATTTTGTTCGTACAAATTCCTTAGGAATTTTTAGAGTTATGAATTTTTGAAAATGGTGCGAACGAACTTTCGTGCCAACCTAATAACTTAAGTCGCCAAAAATCTGGAAAGCTGCAGAAAAATTTGAAACCGTCAACACATGAGTTTTTTGACCCACTCTTTCCAGCTTCATAGAATTGGCTTGTTTGGACGTCTCTGTGAGAAATTACGAATTACCAGTTTACTACAGAAAACGCTAAAACTAATTAATTTGATACTTTTCTCGGAAATCATAACTTTTTAAAGAGACGTCCAAACAGGACGAACTCTTCCCATTTGGGAAGAGTAGATCAAAAAATCTATGTACTGTACAAAAAACTCATGTGCTGACGATTTCAGATTTTCCTGCACC